TGAATTATATTATTGCATTTGACCGCAGCCCTCGGATAGATTTTTATTTTGGAGAAAACGTTTTGTCACCCTTGAAATATGTATATAAACTGAAACAGTAGTGCATCCTAAATTTAACATAAATTAATTATTTTAATACAAAATAGTCATTTCTGCATTTTTTGTGGAGGTCACCTCCTAATAAATGTCATTACAGGAAATCTAACAGCTCATTTTAAATCAATACTTTTACTTTTAATACTTAAGTACAAAAAAATCAGATACTTTAATACTTTTACTCAAGTAATATTCCTAAAGGAGACTTCAAAGTAATTATTTGATCAGATACTTGTACTTTTACTCAAGTATCACTTTGTGGTACTTTACACAACACTGSTGTAAAACATAGCTATAAAATGAAGAAAAGCCACCAYTGTAAATCTACTTCTGACCGTCATCTCTGTAATGTTTTCTAAAATACGAGTTCTTTTGGAGCTCACCCAGAGTCTCCATCAAAAGCTGGATACAGGTTGTGTTTGTGACCAACGATGGGCCCACGGCGGGGTGGATGCACACGTTGGCCAGCACGCTGACCAGTTTCAGGAGCACGTCGTCTGCCTCTCGCGCACCGACAGGAGGCGTGGCGGGCTTTCTGCGGGACAGGGCCTGTTTCTGCGGGGGTGCGTGCGGTGAYTCGTCTCTCCTCTGGTAGCTGCTGTAAAGATGGAGGAGTGTGGCCATGCAGCCGTCGCACTGAAAGAGCTGCAGCCGAGCCGCGTCGCTTTTGGCTGTGAGGTTGCCGAGTGTGAAGAGGAGACGCACAACAAGATCCTGTGGAGGAACCGTAGAGACGGACTGTAATCACACTTGCTCCTTTAGACTGCAAAATATTTAAAAATCAGGAGTTTGTCTGAAGCAAATAACCTGCCAAAAAAAAAAAAAAAAAAAACTCAGAGTGCAGTTTGTTTGATCCGTATCAGATTAAGCACATCACACTTTATTAATTTGACAATTTCCTCGCTCCCTTTCTATTTACTCAGCCCAACCGCTTCTCTTCTAATTTTTCTCATGTTCTCCTTCCTGCTCCCTCCTCTTTACGCATCTCTTCTTGGATAATTATTTGTCAAAGTAATTACACAAGGGCAGAAAATGAAAAGCAAACATAAAACATGCTGGGGAAAGTACCACTTTTCTATTTAATATRCGTAAAGAACACAATAAAAAAAAGAAAAACAGAAAGGTTGTGGACTCACCTGTTTTTGATGATGTTTGTTCAGCAAATCTAAAAGGAGCGGATAACAGCTGGAGATCTGAGCCAAAGCGAGACAGCACTCAGAGTAAGAGGAGAGTTTGCTGAAAGACAAAAAAAAAGAGACAATAAACATCACAGATCCTTCAACTCTCTGCTGTGGTCACTAATTATAGTAATTACAACTGTGAACACAAAGAAAACAGGCTAAAATATGTATTTTTTTTAAATAAGGCAGAATACTAGCTAAGGGTTGAAAGCAGCAAAAGGCTAGCCAGTAGCCAGAAACAAAACAAAAAAGGAGAACCAAACCCTGAAAGTTAAAAATTAGCAAGACAGATTGCTACTTTTAGCTTCTAGCTAGCTTTTTACTTTTACCTTTCATCTAGCCTTTTAAGATTTATACTTTAAGCTACCAGCTAACTTTTTGATGCTTTTAGCTCATGTTTTACTAAATATTAAAAATTAGATTTCTTAGAGTTTAAACCTAGTCGATACACTTTTTAAAGATTTGGCTCAATGTTTTATTGAAGAACGCTGAAAATAAAATTGAATCTAAAACGGTTTGTGGGTCAATGTTTGCCTCATTTGTCTCTCTAAAAACACAGCTGGAAAATATATTGTCTTTTATTTTTTGCAGCATAAGCAATTGTTTTTAAAGACGTTGGTGCGTCTTCTTCTAAAGCAACAATTTTATAACTTCAAAGGACCTTAAAGCCCCTGAAGAATGTTGTATTTTAGGCCTCCACATTTTTCTCTTTTAGTATCTTTGTATATTCAGACAGCAGAGCTGAAACATTAATGAGTGTAGGCGAGGCAAAACTGAAAATGTCTGTGACACAGTGACTGCGTTTGCTGTGGTCTAGATAGAAAAACAGACATAAAACCACCTCGTCTCAGAACTGTAGCAGCTCTTGTTTTGAGAGATTCAGGATTCAAATAACAGTTTCATAAGAGAATGAAAAAAAAAGAAAGAAATTTCACACAAGTAAATAATGAGTGGATGAAAACCAAGCGACAGCCTGTTAACATTCAAATTGTGAAAACGTAAAAATGAACATGTGGCACCTGAAAATTCTGGAAATGTTCGTGCAGATGTCTTTGTCTTCACAGTGTTGATGCAACACCTGGCAGAGAGCTGGAAGGATGAAGGAGGAAACAAAGAGCRCACGGGAATCGGGGTGATCGGCGAGGTTCCTCAGGGCGGCTGTCAGCTGCAGGGGTTAAAGAGAAGAAACAGGGAAGAGGGTTTAGTGAGGAGAAACCTATCAGTGCTTTGCAAGTTTTGTTCGTTTATTTGATACGGTTGGCTGCTGGCCTATGTGGAGGAGCAACGGGAAACTGTTCAGTGATTAAATACATCATTCCATCAAAGGAAGGAAACTATGCTTTCCAACACATGGCAGCACTGAAAAGCAGTGGAAAAGTCCTCCTGTGCTTATTTTCCTCTTCTAACTGGGTAATGAGTCGCCTTACAGATCAAATAAGACTGGTTCAAGATGTTTGTTTGGGCCGGTTCTTGTGGTTTGCAGCAATCATGTCGGGCAGAAAGTGTTCTGGACTCAAGTGGTCTGCTGGCCGGCAGAGAACATTAGGCTCACGGAGCGGCAACATTCCAGACGTAAACAAAAACATTTTTACCTAATAGCTGGAAAATCGGCATCAGCCAAAAAAAAAAAAAAATACATCAAAACTACATCTGGTTCCCTTTTATTGACATGTTTTGACTTTGTGGTTTTTATGAAAGAAAAATATTACAAACGCTTTAAAAAATCTTCAACAATAAATAGGTCATAATGACTGTTAGCTCTGGATTACTGAACTTAGAGACAAACCTGCGTGAGGATGTGCCCTGCTGTTTTTATGTTGGCCTCGTCTACTGCGCAAAGAGCCTGGAGGAGTTTCTGAGCGACGCCCATGCAGTTCTTCTCCAGCAAGAGTCCGAGGAGCGCCCGGTTTCCAGAGAGGAACTTCAAAGTGCCAACGCAGTACAGCAGGGCCTCGCCAGACACATTCACGTCTTCAGTGTGAAGCACATCCAGCAACGAGTCTGAAAAACAAGACGAAACGAGAGGCTAAATGGAAAACTACTTCATAGGTAGGCTCGCTAATAATAATCAATCAATAAATAAGAAACAGAGATGACACACGAGGTGTCCTGACCAACAACAATGGAGTCTTTCTGGAAGAGGATGTCGTTGGATTCACTGCGGCTGATCTGATAAATGAGCTTACAGATGTTGAGCAGGTTGTTTCCACTCACACACAGCTGGAGAGAAAAAAATAAATATATTTGCTAGTTTTATGCTTGTGACAGATGTGTTGAAGTACACACATCCACCTGCCCCTCTCTCTCTCACACACACACACTTGCAGACCTACAGGTGACTCACAGCGAGGCAGAGCTTAGCGATGTGCAGGCTGAGTTCAGAAGAGTTGAGGTCGATAAGGCGGAACAGCTGTCGCAGGATTCTCGACCTCCTCTTGCAGCGTCGACCGAGCAGGTCGGCGTCCGCCAAGGCGCTGTGCAGACCGTCACACAGATCGCACAGGCGGTCCACCGAGTCCTCAGAGCTGCCTGGCACAGAGGGTAAACACTATTTGCAAAGTGGTTCAAAATGTCCTGATTCATCTCAGTAATCCAGGTAGAAAAAATCCAAAAGAAAAAATAAGTAGGTCCTCTGGATGGGTTCTTCTTTAGTGAAACGTTTCRTCTCTCCTCCAAGAGACTTCTTCAGTCTGATGAGTTTCAGGTGAACTCAGCCTTATAAGCACTGCCTCCACATGGACAAACAGGTTAGTCACATGCAAAAGAGGGCCATCGCCTAACAATAGCTTGATTTACTCACATGCAAAAGAGGGTCATCACCTAAMAATAGGCTTGATTAGTTCTACTGTTTATAGAGGGTCATGTGCCCCATCAARATAACAATCATGCCCCACCACRAGGGACAAAAACATGGGGATGTTGAACCCCCGCTTGCATTCACTATATACACATAACACGACATGGGTCAGATGATGGGGCACATGACCCTCTATGAACAGTAGAACTAATCAAGCCTATTGTTAGGCGATTGTCCTCTTTTCAATGTGACTAACCTGTTTGTCCATGTGGAGGCAGTGCTTATAAGGCTGAGTTCACCTGAAACTCATCAGACTGAAGAAGTCTCTTGGAGGAGAGACGGAACGTTTGATTTTATTTGATTTGATTTATTGATTTAACAGGAAAAGATGACTAAAAATCAAGCCTGACTCAGCATAATTGCTGTTTTACAGCAGGTTCATGTTCTGCAGCACATAAAACACTCAGAAATACAGCATCACAATCACATCATTATACACCATAGACACAAAGACAAACAAGCATACCAAATTTCAGGAAGGCAGCATTTGCAAAATAGGACGTCTAAATATGAGCACAACAAAATGTGTCCAGCAGATGGCAGACAAGATTCTTCTTAAAGGGCTGTAGTTTTGAAATGGACTTTATGTTTTGAGGAATGTCATTCCATGCTTTAGTATAAACATAGAAGAAAGACCTCTGGCCGTAACAGTTTTTAAAAGTTGGTAATGTCAGTTGTCCTTTTGTAACAGATCTAGTTGAATGACCACTTCCGGAATTTGATTTGGGCAGCAATGCACAGAGAGTTCCATAATTGGCACCTTGGAAGATCTGAAAATATAAATTAATACCACTATACAAAACATAATTCTGAAAAGTCAAGGCATCAGACAATGAAAGAACTGTACAGTGATGAGTCCAACCAGGACGTTTTTTATGAATTATGTAGGCCCTGTTGTAGAGCCTAACTATGGGTTCTAAGATTTCATTTGTTGTAAGAGACCAAACAGGTAAACAGTACGACATGGTTGAGAGTATAATGGCATGAAGATAGATATTTGAAACAGAAGATGTCAGATCGGATCTAATTTTTGAATAAACGTATAATTTCTGTTTCAACTTAGTGGTTAAGACTCGTACATGATCACTAATAAAGAAGAACCCATCCAGAGGACCTACTTATTTTTTCTTTTTGACAATTTGCAAAGAAACTATGTCACGTTCAAGAAAAACTAACAAAAAGTGTAAACATAGTTGAGTTCTATGTATGCAGTGTTGTGTATGTCTATAAATAAATAAAATAAATAAATCTGTATGAGAACATGAAGTCAAATCTCTGATATTCATAATACGCTGGTCAGCAGAAAGTTCCTACTTTGAGACACAGCTTTCAGTATCAGTGGTCAAATACAGAAAACAAGAAAGGCAGCAGGCAGCTGACGCAGAGGAAGAGAAAGGGTGGAGCGTTTTCCTTGTTTTTGAGGCAAAATAAATGTTTTCCCTGTATAAATAATAGGCCATTTCCACAAAAGCTTGAGCACAGTCTCATACTCTGCACTTTTTTTGCACAGAATCTCCAATGTGTTTTATGCATGAGCCAGAAGGCCCTTAGTACAATAAATATTTAATATTTATCTTTCAAATGAAATTTCCATTAAATTTGTAGAGTGCTAAAATATTTAAAGCCACAGATTTAATTTCATGGCTGCCAGACTGCAGTTTCAGGCGGAGGAGACATATTCTGTACAGATGCCAAACCTAACACAGTTTTGTTTGTCTTGCTCTGAAATGATGGTGCTTTTTTTTTTTTTCCATTTCGTGAGGCTTTGTGCATGACTATCTGCCAACATTGAGAAATCAATTTCTCAGCCTGCTGGTTGAAAATGAAATATAATCAGGAAACACGGGGAAGAAAAACTGACAAGAGAAGGTAAGCCCTAGTGAAAAGACCAGAATCTCCTCAGCTAAAAGACATTTTAGATAACATCTTCTAACATTCAAAAGCCCAAAAGGAATGTAATATTGTAATAAAATAAAAGAGTCTTCTTAGCTATAATGCATGTTGTGTGTTTACAATTTATTTTGTGGGTTTCCTTCCTGTATTGCACACAACAGGCTACCTGCAGCCACACTCTCCAGCTCTTCTAGAAAAGGGACTATCATATTATTCCACACCAGTGACTCTGCATCCTCCTTTGTGCTTGTGGCGTTGGCTTCATACTTGAGCTCTGAAATGAGCAGAAAAAAAACATGTTTGTCATTTACCCTTTTTGGAAACAGCGACAGCAAGCCTGGTTCACAAGTTCACCGTCTTAAAATAAAACAGCAGGAAGTTTGATGCCACAGTAAAAGGTCATCATCTACAGCTAAACTTCCTCTTATTTCTTTCTGTGGTGGTGTGAAATAGTCTGCACGTGTGTATGCGTGCTCGCAACTATCTAAAATCTCTTGCACACCGTGTTTACGTAGCTTTTTTTTTTATTTTTTGGAATATTTGCATAACCCCCCTTTGCTTGGTGAGATACAGGAAACTGTGGCTGCACAAGCCAACAGTTCTCTCTGCTATTGGCTGGCTGTTTGTCGTGGTGGAAATCGGGCCTTTAGCAACAACACGACAATCAAAGTTTGACACTCAAAAGTTTGGCTGAATGACTCGGGCATTGTCCCTGGCTCAGAAAAAAAAAATCTGCATTTAAGCAACAACACTGAGTGTAAAAAGTACGCCACATGTGGTAAAGCTGTATTTACATATTCACATCTACATGCTCTGATTATTGAACTATTTGTGTTTTATGCAGTGATGCGTGTTTATAGCTTAAAAAACATAGTGAGATGGACTGAGTAGACCTCGACAAACCTGTTTGCTGTTCTGCTCTGCTAGCTGTGGGTCTAACTCCTGAGTCAACACCCGGCTGCACACTTTTACTGCTGCAACAAAGAAACACACACACACACACACATACACAAAACAAAGAATCTCCATTCAATGCTGTGACTACTGTTTACTCTGGAAGCTCTCAGATCAGTGAAACACTAAAATAATATCTGAAAATGTAAACTAAAGAATTACAAACACTATTTTGTTAGAAAGGCTTGATGCATTTTTAACAGCCACTAGGTGTCACTGTTGCAGCAGAGGTTGAGAGGAGTGAGCAGGTGCTGTTGATTCTGTCCTGTGTGTGGGAGTGTAAGCACTGCATGCAAGCAGATACATGTGGGGTGTATGTCTTCCCTTTGTGCATGACTGTCTCCCTGTGTAATTGTGTGACTGTGCAGTTGTGTGTGCTGCTGCAGGCCCCAACAGACAGGAACTAACAACTTGGCTTTGTGGTCAGCCTGGTTAAAGCTGCTCATGCTTCGTCACTGTGAGCTCGCTGTGCAATAACGGCAAAGCACTTCTTAAAACTTGACCAAGTACCATGCCTTGCTATATGTTGTGGTTTCCCTCTGATGTCATCGACGCATGTTGTTGCACTGTGGTGTTAAAACTTTATGGGGAAACAACACCTCAAAACTCCTGGACCTTTTGTAATATTTGTCTGGTGGTGAGCGGTAAGAAACAATGTGATTCGGCATTATCTCTGTGCTTGYTTAACCATTTAACTATCACAACATTCAGCTCGTTTAGGAGRTGAAWGCTTTKTTTATACTTTTCAAATTATTTAACTTWATTAAAAACAGTTTCCAAATCAAAATAAAATGAGGTCTCTTCAATTCCTTCAAAAAACATTGTTCTCTATGAAATCTGCTTCAGCAATTCTGCTATTGTTTGCTTTTAGCTAGTGATAGCTTCTTTTTACTTCTGCTTCTTTAAGCACTTAGCATTCAACGCTCTCTGGTTTCATTTAAAAGAGTCGATCGTCAGATATTGTCCAAGATTAACCTTCAGCGTGGCTATAGCTCGCTAGCAGCCTCGCAACAATGACCTATCCACGTCATCATTTACCCAGAATGCTTTGTGTGTAAATAAAATGGCTCANGCCTCGCAACAATGACCTATCCACGTCATCATTTACCCAGAATGCTTTGTGTGTAAATAAAATGGCTCAGTCCATGTTAAAATATATTTTTAAAACTTTACAAAACTAAACAGCCTACAGTATTTTTAGTCTTTATTTTACAGGTAAAATGTATGTTTATCAAATAAAGTCTAATGTTACAACTAATCGTGGATCCGTTTAATGTACTGTAGCCTCACTAAAGTTTCTAACACAAAAAAACAAACAAACCCTAAGATACAGTACGTGTCTTTTTCTAAACCAGACCTCCTTTGCAGGTTTAGTGTCTGGTAAATGGAAGACATGCAGCAAGGACTGCTGGCCAAAGCATGCTGTAGTGAATGTCAGGCTGCTTTGGCTTTGTATGATAGGATTAAGAGCCTGATAATAAGGCTTCTTTGTGTGATTCTGCATTCTCTGAGACATGACCTCATCCCTGCCTTAGGCCTGGCCAGTGCAGCGTAGTCACAATACGCAATGCTGCCAGCCTTGCCCAGATGGGCACACAAATCTAATAGAGAGCCATTTGGAGCTATAGAGCTCAGGCTTATTGGAGAAAAAGAACCCAATGGATGTCTAATCTCCCCTATCTTTATATCTCATCCAATCCATCATATTAAATCTGTCATGCCGTTTCTATTTCCATTTGAAGTTAGCTTGCTTCTGACCACGCACAGTAACTTTCTCCCTTTGTCTCACTGCAGCGCTCCTTTTATGCAGGTAACTGCTATATAAACAAGTGCGCTGACCCGACACTGCATCTACAAATATTTAAAGTGCCTGTGACATCAAATTTTTCTAGATAAACATGAATGCATTTTTGGAAAGATAACAATAATAACATATTGCAAAACAAATTTCACGCTGCTGAGATGAACGGTTGTTGAGATATTCACATGTGCAGTAACAGGAAGTGATGTCAAAGGGGAATGTCGGCATGTAAACAGAGCATTGCTACAATGGCTAACAATACAGACTGTAGAGAAGAATCTGATGTTTCTTTACATTATTTTGAGTCACTATCAAAGAGAGAGGAAGAAGAGTTAAAGCTTAAATGATATTGTTTTAATAAACAAAGACCAAAGATTTTATTTTATGAATGAGCTCCCCTTTGATGTCACTTCCTGTTTTACTTTGGCTGAGACAAATTCAAAAGAAAATAGGCCAGTTATGGGACAAAATAGGTAAAATCATGTGTATTAGGGCAATTTTCTTAAGTATGAATATGTTTGACTTTTTGTATTTGAAGTATATTCGTGTCACAGGCACTTTAAATCTGTTTTATTTGCTCATAAAGTGACCACTCTAATCACATAAGACCTGCCCTTTTCAAGCAACAAGTTACACAACGCGGCACGTAAAGTTGGCCGAGAGAGGGGGGTTGCATTACGGGCAACGGCCCAGATTTCCTGTAAAAGTGTTTTATGGTCCGACCCCTCTGCTGCCCCACTCAATCGATAGGTGGATGGATTGTAACGACAGCCCCCCTGACATCGTGCTCAGAGTTATGCCCCCCCAAGCTGACATGCAGCTGATGAGGTCGGCAAAAAAAGGCCAGGCTTTTAGCCTTTCTGTGCGGTGAAAGTGTAAAAGCTGACACGCAGTAGTAAAGACGGATAGAGGCAGATTCACAGAGAATGAAGCTTGCCAAGGAGCGGGAGTGAACTGCAAACAAGATGTAGTGTAGAGTKGGGGGAGATGAGGCGGGGGGCGGTAAAAGGGGCTTCAGCATCTCAAGTTGAAGAATTTGTTCTTTTTAGTTACTGACACCAGTGTTTGTCTAACTAACTTAATAAATTCAGCTATTTTTGTTGGCCGCTCCAGATATAAAAGATGTTTTGATTACATTCATAGCTACCTGCTTTTATATCGAATTTTATGTATAAACTTATTTAGGAAAAATTTGTTTTGTTGGTACTTTATGTTGTAGTGAAATGTCCTCAACGTGCAAAATGCTGGCTTTGAGAAAACGCATTAGTAACTGTTAAAAGGTAAGTTTTGACCAGTGGTGGGCACAGTTCCCCTAAAGCACTAATAGGGGAACTAATTTCCTGATCCTGGCTTTCGCTAATTTTTAAATTTATTAGTGGATTAGCACTTGTTAAATTTATAGGCTAAATTTAGAAGCACTAACTGAGATCTATAAATGTTATTGATCAACGTTAATGTTAACAGCTGACGGTGAAAGCTGTCACATTTCGTACATATGTGTGTCACTTATCCATACGGCTGTGGAATGTCTATGATACGTATTCAGGGAGCAACATGACAATATGTGACTCATGTTGTCTGTTGAAGAATGTTCATGGGTTGACTGGGTTATTTTAGTGCTTTAGAATTAGCTTTTGCTAAAACTTTCAGTGCATTAGTGCTTTAGAATTAGGGGACCTAAATATTTGAGTTAGTGTTTTAGGGTTAGTGGAACTGATTTTTAGAGTAGTGCTGCCCACCACTACTTGTCTTTGTCATAAACTAGTCAATGGATATACATAAAACAGTAGAGGGTTCAAAGACTTAAACCATTGCTATTTAACTGAACTGCTTAGAGGGGYCAAACTTACTGAAGACCGCCAGCTGAACATACTGAAAACACAGAAAGTGAGAAGTGGATTAGGAACGATAAGAGACACAAAAACCCCATAATAGTTACCCCTGCAGCCGGGCATGKCTGTAAATTTTAAACTCTTTGTTGTGGTGTCATTATTGAGCCTGCGAGGAGAAAAGGGTGGACAGGCAAAGCAAAGGACATATATTTTACTTGAACAAAGGGTTTTACCTTTCTCGTGGTGATTTGCATCGGCCAGGCCTTAAAGGATCACTGCGACCCGCCGAATGTTCTCGATGGTTAAGTTGTTCAGCTGACAGACGCTGTTGTTCTGGGCCAAGATTTAATTTCTCTTTAAAGACAATGAAAACAAAAGAAGTAAATAATTTACAGGTTACTATAATGCAGCAACGTGTCTATTTCTTCATCTAGCTTGAAGTAGAATTCATACATACTCTATGTGTACTACTCAGATGGACTAGTTTTTTTCATATCGTACTGCAAGAACATCCATTTYGCAAAAAAAGGAGGCAAAGATCAAAAACAGCAGCGATGAATTTACTTTTAAACAAGTAAAAGCTGGTCAACACATTATTATTCGTTCCCCCCCTTGCCTTCTGTTGATGCTTCTGGTAGTAGCAGAGTGGTGAGAGGCTTGAGGAGGCATGTCCGAGYGTACGCCACTCCTCTCCTCGTACTCCTCGGGCCAGAGTGGGATTTGGGAAAGTCCTTGGATGGATCATCAGCATTACGAGGGTCTGGAAGTTTTGGTTTCTGGAGCAGCAGAAACAAATGGTTTTTTTAACAGGGTGGGGAATTAGCCAGAGGATGAAATCAGCTGTAACAGAATTGTTTCTGCACAAGAAAATCTCTTTATTTTAATTCCAACAAGTATTCCAAGTATTATGCATGTGTGAAGGAACATACATGGTTCAAAGGTGAGAGACGAGTCCCAGAACCTGGCCTGGAGTCTGAAGCATCAAAATTTCGACCATGAAGACTGTAAAGTATAAATAAATTATTACTTTTATATGTTTTAGAGATATCAAAACACCAGTAAGGCACTTCAGCTTTGATATATGCACAGTGGAATTCATGACTAACCTAAACGTAGACGGAGGTCTGCTGTCACAATCTGCTCGAACAGAGTTTCTCCCAAACAGTTGCCGGCATCCATCTTGCGGGGTAAAGGGTCGCTGGGTGGTCTGAATCCGTAGTGACTGCCTGGATTCATTGACGATCTCTGCACACGTTTTCCTCAAAGTGTTGCGCCTTTGTGGAATAAAAGGGCTGCAAAACTTATGTTTTGTCTCCATGGATCACGTTTTAGGCCTATAGGAGACAACAATTTATTGTATTTGTTTAAAAAGTGCACAACCACACGGAATCTAATTTCCCTCTGGCATCAATAAASTATTTTTGAATTGAATAACTGTCCTAGTCTAATCAAAAAATAAAATGTTTGACTGGATTAAAGCAATAATAAAACCTAACATAAGTTTGACTAAAATTGCTCCACTTTTTAAAAGCAACAAAAGTTTATTTACATACATACAGTATATATATATATAC